ATGATATTTGTGTGTCTGTCTGTCTATCTATCTATCTATCTATCTATCTGTCTATCTGTCACAGAATGTTAATTATCTATCTATGTTCATTATCGATCTATCTTTATATATATATATATATATATATATATATATATATATATATATGCATGTATATTACAATGAATCATTTATACAAAAAGTAGATTAGTGAAGTAATGATATAAAATGGCGAAATCCTTTGGTTAACACAATTTTAAAGATGCATTAACCTACAAATCACTCGATGAATATGATAATCCTTGTTTTTTTAAATATAAGCTTTATAAGTTCTTTCTTTAATACGCATGTACTTTTAACTGCACATTCAATCATCTTCAGGCATGGAAATTATTTTGTTTTTTGTAAAATTCAGTTATATATACATATATATATATATATATATATATATATATATATATATATATATATATATATATATATTTGTATATTTAGGCAGCAATCCTTCCTTTATGCATGTTTCATTAAAAACGACAGACAAGGTACTACGGTTGAGTTTTTTATTCAATTTTTCTTGTGTTCTGACAAGAGCTTTCTTTTCTGGACAAAGAGTGTGTAAGAACTGTCCGAATGTTCTGTGTTTCCGAGCGCTTTCGGCTATACCTTTAGCCATTATCAAGGATGATTCAATTATCAGCTTAGTAGAGTGTGTGTGTTCTGTGTATGTTCAGTGTGTGGTAGTGATGTTTTTAGTTTCCGAATACGGTTAGCACATTGTGGCTTTGTTCATAGTTAATATTGTTAAGGGTTGGCTTTTTCTTTTTTATTAGTAGACCTTCCATTATTTTTAGTCTTTTTTTGCAAGTGGATGCAGTTAATATATTAGTGTTTTCTACTAGTATGTTCCTAATAGTGTCGGGTAAATCTGAGTGTGTGTTTAAATGTGTTCTGATGGAACTGTGATCAGATAGGTGTAATGTAAGACGTCTGGATAAACATGTGGTTGTGTAGCCGATGTAATTATTTATGAGTCCGGTTTGGTGAGGAACGCAGTTCCTTAAAGGGCATTTGAACTCATAGATAATGTTCGCTCTTTGTAATTTTGACTTAGTTGGTGTGTTGTTATTTTTGAGGATAAGGTTGGCCGTCTTAAATTTTTTATAATAGATAATAAGTTTGATTTTTTTATTCGGATCAATAGGAGTAGTATATTTCCCGACACTATTAGGAACATACTATATATATATATAGTTTATGAAAAACTAGGTAAACTAGGTGAGCTCAATAAAAACAGACAACTTTAAGGTTCCATGTAAATTTCTTTTCATTTTTTTGTTTCAACCTTTGGAAGTAAAGTCTGATGATCCGCAGTCCTTTTAAAAGGGCTGTGGTGAAATAATTTATTACATGGAACCTTAAATTTGTCTGTTTTTATTTAAATTATTTGCTCTGGATTTACATTGAGCTCTCTGGATTTTATCCTCCTTGGGTCTTCCCATACGGATTACCTAGTTTTTCCTAAACTATATATATATATATATATATATATATATATATATATATATATATGACTGAATTGTACCAAAAACAAAATAATTTCCATGCCTGAAGATGACTGAATGTACAGTTAAAAGTACTAAAGTAGTAAAGAAAGAACTTTGGCAGCTTATATTTAAAAAAAAAAGGATCATAACATTCATCGAGTGGTGAAATAATTTATTACATGGAACATTAAAGTCGTCTGATTTTATTTAAAATATATATATATATATATATTGACCACTAATATTATCTTATCAATACATACATACATACATCATATATATATAAATATATATATATATCATCCGACGTTTTTATAACAATACTGAACTCTACTCAGAACAATAAAAATATATAAGTACTCTAAAATTTTATCAGAATAATCGTGATGGAATGGACTATAAACGAAAATGACATGTTTATCATTAATTATGCATAGCCAAGGATCGGAATCTCATGAAGGATTGAAATAAATTTCATATATATATATATATATATATATATATATATATATATATATACATATATATATATATATATATATATATATATATATATATATATATATATTTATATATATATATATATATTCCACGGTCATTTTCAAAATTATTCAACATAATCTTCGCTCTCTCTAACCTTCTAACTTTCTGTTCTGTAGTAATAGGTTGCCTCACACGTTTCACGTAGGATTTCATTTTCAAGTTTTTTCACTGCTCTCTGAAATAGGTGAAACTCCTCTCTCACGTGCCAAACGCCGTGTGAATTGAGTTGGATCTTTTCTAATTGATCTATTTTGAAATTATGATTCCTCTTCTTATTGTGACCACCTGGTCCAATTTTCCTCTCTACTGTTCTCTCTTTTTAAAATACATTCACCGTATTGGATGGAATTTCAATATGAAAGCCAGAGTATGAACGTCGGTACCATTACTGAAGTCCTGAATGATATTTTCCTCACAGCATTACTCAGTTGAGA